GGGCACCTTTAAAACCCAATTAAAAACATGGCTGTTTATTCAGGCCTTCCCTCCAGCCAACTCTTGATTTTTTTCTTACTTTTCCTTTTAATCTTTACTGCTGTTCTTGTTTGATTATTATGTATTTGTCTATGTTTTATTATTTGATTTTATATTTGGAAGCCGCCTAGAGTGGTTCGGTGGGCCAGATAGGCGGGGTATAAATTAAATAAATAAATATAGGTCAATATGACAGGCATATAGATGAATGAGAATATGTTACATATCAAATAATCACATAATGCACAATTCTCCGTATCAGTGACAAACAATATACTTATTAAATATATACATATAGTGTTATGTTGTATATGATGATTTATAACACAACGTGTGCTCAGACATCGTCATGCTTATTGTATTGATTTGTATGTTGACTATGATAACCAATGGGCAGATATTTCTTGATGTTTTAGCGTTGAGTCTTTGGTGTCCTTTTGATTTAAGCTGATTCTTTGTGTATATTTGATATAAGGAAGGAGAAAATCCTCAGTGATTTATCTTTTCTGTATGTTCCCTTAAGTCTGCTTTAAGGTATTAGAAGTCCTGCTGTCAAGGTCAAATGTGTGACACTTAAACAAGACCTCAGAGAACTATAAAACCTCATAATGTCCTTTGGCAGCTTGAGTCTGTGGTCTGTCAGAGATGACATGTACTGTATCCATGATAGGGCTAATTTCAGTGTATACATACAAAATATCAAAACTTAACATTATAGAACAACTTGTCTGGATCTAGAACAATAGTATTAAGTGGATTCTCTCTGGTTCAGTGTGAAAGGTCACATTGAAAAGCTGTTTTGTGTACAGTTACTTGATCCATAGACACTGAAGTTGGTAGGGTCCTTTCAGAAGTGTGCAGTGAAGTGTAACAGCAAAACCTAAGGCTGTGCAAGTTTGTGTGGAAGGACGCATGCTCGGCTTCATTGAAACTTATCCCCAAACATAGTTAGCTTTGGACTTTTCTATAGGATGCAGCTCTGATGTATTTTACACATGAAACAGTGCAATCATAAACGCGTGGACTGCTTCATATTATGAGCCTCCGGCTCCTCTGAGATGCATCAGTACTGTCTCTGATCAAGTGTTTTTGCATGTTGGGTGTTCAAAGGAATGGAAGAGTTTGTGTAAATATGCACTTGAGGATTTTACATGGAAAAGCCCCTGATGTTAGGAAAGTGTGAGGGCAAGAGGAGAAGGGAACGACAGAGGACAAGATGGTTGGACGGTGTCACCAAAGCTACCAACATGAATTTGACCCAGCTCCGGAAGGCAGTGGAAGACAGGAGGGCTTGGCGTGCTCTGGTCCATGGGGTCACAAAGAGTCAGACACGACTTAACGATTAAACAACAACAATTGGGACAACAGTTGATATAAGAGCCACCCGAATTAGAAGGTCTATAAAATTGGGAGACTCACTGAGGCAACTTTTGAATTCTGATTTTTATCAGCGATTACTTGGCTCTGTTATATTTGCCAACTCAATTATGTCACTGTTAGAGTCATTGGAGAATTTGATAGAATCCCTACATCTCACCTGCTGTAAAGATTTTTTTAAAAAAATCAGAAAATCACCGCTCCCTACACTGCCTCTGCCTGTGCCAAACCTTGGTTTGACAGGGAATGTAAGGCCATGAAACAGGAGCTGGTGGTTAAATATAGGGATTATAGAAAGCAGAACCTGGTGAAGGTTCCATCAGACTGGCTCTTTCTAAAAAGGAATTACAAAGCATTGATAAAGAACAAAAAAACAAAAAGAGGCATGGCAACATTTAATAACTGCAGCTAACTTAAAGAACTCTGCTTCCTTCTGGACGATAGTAACTGGGAGTTTGTTCGATCATGGGAAAATACATATTTTATACTGGCAAATGTATGGGAGTATGCATGTATGTATGCACTTTATTCCGGAGGTATGCCTGATTCCACAGAGAAACTAGAATGCATACCAGAGTGGGCCCCTGTTTCTATTCAGGAAATTATACTGGTAATTAATTAACAAAAACTAGGCAAAGCCCCTGGGGCAGATAATATCCCGGTGGAGCTACTGTAGGCAAATTTGGATTGGTGGGCCCCTGTTCTAGCATCCCTGTTCACATGGATAGATCGAACGGCACCCATCCCAGAAGAATGGGGCTTGGCTATTATTGTCCCAATATATAAGAAAGGAACAAACCAGATCCAGCTAATTACCACCCAGTAAGTCTTCTTCCGTGGTCACATGGCCAGTGCGACTTAGACACGGAATGCTGTTACCTTCCCACCGAGGTGGTCCCTATTGATCTACTTGCATTTGCATGCTTTCGAACTGCTAGGTTGGCGGGAGCTGGGACAAGCGAAGGGAGCTCACTCCGTCACGTAAGATCGAATCCATGTGACCACAGAAGATTATCTTCAGACAAAACGCTGGCTCTATGGCTTTGAAACGGGGATGAGCACTGCCCCCTAGAGTCAAACACGACTGGACAAAAATTGACAAAAACCTTTACCTTTTAAGTCTTCTGGGTATCCCCAGTATGTTGTATGCATGCCATCTGTTAGAAAAACTACAGGATTGGCTCCACGCTGGAAATACCCTTGCAGATGATCAGGCAGGTTTCAGATCAGGGAGGTCCACAGTGGATCAGGGTTTAATACTGCAACATCTAGCAGATAAATATTCCTCATGTAAAGGTGGCGCCCTGTACTCTGCATTTATTGACTTTAAATCAGCATTTGACCTGATTCCAAGAGACAAGCTGTGGGCCAAATTTGAGGCAACTAATATTGATAGGCGACTTCTTCTGCTAATTCAGTGTTTACTTGAGAATACCTATCTTCGGGTTCTATGTAATAGAACAGGGGTACTGTCCAAAGTAATTCCAATCCTCACTGGTGTTAAGACAGGACTGCATTTTAGCTCCCACGTTGTTTAATTTTTATATTAATGATCTAGTAGAAAGGTTGTTGAGATCTGATTTTCATCCCCCCAAACTGTCTTCCCACTCTGTTTCCATCCTCCAGTATACTGACGATGCTTTATTGTTGTCTATAACTTGTATTGGGCTGAGAAGACTGCTAAAAGCTCTATCATCTTATTGTATGCAAGAAGAACTAACCATTAATTATTCCAAGACCCAAGTGATGATTTTCAGTAGGAGGAGACTTAAACATAAGTGGTCTATTAACAGAAACATCATTGAGCAGATAGGGTGCTGTAAGTACAGTGGTGCCTCGCTTAACGAGCGCCCTGTTAACGATGAAACCGCATAGCGATGAAGATTTTGCGATCGCATTATGATGTTTTAAATGGTAAAAAATCGCTTTGCCATGATCGGTTTGCTGTTTCACTTACTGATTATCGCATAGCGATGATTTTTAAACAGCTGATTGGCGGTTCCAAAATGGCCATCCGCTGTGTTTTCGCGCAGTTTCCTCACTTACCAGGCAGCGAAAATGGCCGTCGTATGGAGGATTTTCGCTTTAAGGTGAGTTTTAAGCCCATAGGAACGCATTAAATGGGTTTTAATGCATTCTTACGGACTTTTTAAAATCGCATAGTGACGAAATCGCTTTGCAGCGATTTTTGCTGC